TGCTAGAAACCTGGTACTAAAGTCACTGCCAGAGATCATGCTTGGTAGGCAATTTAGGACAAACCTACCAAGCAATCACCTGCCCAGGTTCCCTAAAAAGAGGGACTTCTCAAAGAGCAAAACAGAATGAAGATGGTACACAACTGACATACAAATGCACAGCTGTTTAATTTGGATATAGGAAGGAGGTTAGAGTCAGGAATCCTTTCCAGAGAACCTGGTTACCTGCAGAGATATCTAAACATTTGCAGTGAGTCTAGATATTATGATTTCGCAAAACCTAATGGAGCCACATTGAGGAGAAAATGAAGCTCCACATATGTACAGAACAAAGAGGTGCTTGGACGATGGAAGTGTCGAAGATCATCATGGCAACAACCAACATTACACAAACAAGTTGAGAACAATCAAATGTGAATTCTAGAGCTTTGGATTGGTAAATCATCCACAAGATCCATTAGAATTGTTAAACCACCTACATAGAATCCCTACTGTGTGGAAGCAGGTCCATCGAGTCCATACCAACTCTCTGAAGAGCATCCCATTTAACTCACCCCCTACCCTATCCCTGTAATTCTACATCTTCCATAGCTAATCCACCTAGCCTGCATATCCATAGGGACTATGGGCAATTTTGCATGACCAGTCCACCTAACCTGCACATCTGTGGACTGTGGAGGAAATCCATACAGAAACAGGGATAACGTGCAATATCCACAAAATCACCCAAGGCTGGAATTGAACCCTGGGTCCCTAACACTGCAAGGTAGTAGTACTAACCACCGAGCCACCGAGCCACCTGCATTATACAGATTACACATTATATAAATTCGTAGACTTTTAAACTCAGATTTTATTCTTCTAGTGCTGTGGAAATTGTTTCACAAATACCTCTTGCACGTGTGTTTTTCATGATCAGTATATTACTAAGTCTACTACTTAACTTGGAAAAAGAACTGCATGTGGTATTATTGGTTTAAGTGTATGATATTGAGCCAAGGACCAGCATGACAGCACATGGTCAGAAATGCAAGCAGCAACATTCTCAACTAAAAATGTACACACGAATTGCTCTGTAACCACAAGTTACCAGTTTGTTTGGAACCCTGAAGTGAATTGAACCAAGGCAACCTACCAAACCTCAATGAGAGTGGTAATTCTGTGTTAAGAAATACAAGGATATAACTGATATACTAAGTAAAGTTTTAGAAATTGAGTCAGGTCCATCTTTTTAACCTCTATAAAGTTCAAATCTATCCAGGACTTCACTGTTGCTCCTTTACCCTGAGCATGATATTCGTGTAACTCTATTGCATTCCTGTGCGAGATACCAGAAGCAGATTTTGACTTTATGACGAATTCTTCCTTCATCTTTAACCTGTAACTCCTCTGTTCCTCCGTGTGTCAGAATCTGTCTTATTTCAACTCCAGCCAATATACATTCATGTTATCTGTTATGTATCTTCTCTTCTTCCTTTTAATCTGTAAACATCTGCACATTCTTGTTCTTTGTTGCATCCCTACAGGTTTATCAGTAATTTTCCACTCACTTTTTCCAAGTGCTTAAAACCTGTGGAACATTTTTCTTCTTCCGTTCTTACTTTATCTCACAGTTTACAGCTTTCATCTCTGTTCAGCTCAGGCTCAGTGATGGTCATGTATACCGCTAAGCCAGAAATTTGTGGATTCAAATTCAAATTCCTTTCCACAGACTGGAGCCTGGCCGACCAGCACAGTACTGCAAGGGTGCTGCTCTGTGATAGGTATCTGAAGTCACATTAAACCAATTAAACCAGGGCAGCACAGTGGCCCAGCGGTTAGCACTGCTGCCTCACAGCACCAGAAACATGGGTTCAATTCCAGCCTCAGGTGACTGTCTATGTGGGGTTTGCACATTGTCCCTGTGTCTGTGTGTGTTTTCAACAAGTGCCCTGGCTTTTTCCCACAGTCCCAAGATAGGTCATGCTATAGTGCCCAGGAATATGCAGGCTAGGTGGATTAACCATGGGAAATGGTGGGTGTGGGGGTATGGAGCTGATGGGCTGAATAGCCTGCTTCCCTACTGTGGGGGTCCTATGATTCAATGTTCCATTGTCTGCTGAGGTAGGCAAGGTCTTATTTGTGGAGGAGCTGTGATGTTCTCACTCCCAGCCACCATTTGGCCCTCAACCAGCTTCTCTAAATAGACTGGGGATATGTATGACTGGCCTGAGGACAGAAAGCAGAATTGCAATGTGTAACTAATCTGTTCCCATTCAATATAACACTGGCAACTTCGTGCTTCCTGTTGTTTGAAATTATTTCCATGTCCATAATTGTTGATCGGCAGGATTTTTCAACCAATAGCCAATAGCCTTGAGAGGTGAAGACCATTTGAATTATACCTGAACTGCTTAAATGGAGCAGCTGGAGAAGGCACTATTAGGAAGTGACTGTGAGCTGGGAAACATTAAAAAATGGTGCAGAAATGTGGAAAGTGTAAGCTCTAGATTTTTCAGGCACCACACACACAGGTGGCTTTTTGCGGAGAAAGATGAAAAGAGGAGAACATTGGATAAGAATAGTGATAAGAATCATTGCCCAGAATTTTCTTACAGCTGACAATCAGAAAGGAGCCTCCCTACGGCACATGGTAGTTCTCCCACAATGCAATAGTCTGCAATTCAAAAGGAGAGATCAGAATTGTAACCTCGTGACCAAGGCAGACCCAGTGACTTATTGTATCAGGAGTAAGCTTCCTCACTATGGGAGCTGCTCATTCGGTTAACACCCTCTCTCTCTCCTTTGGATCAAAATCTCACTGACAGAATTTATGAGTGGTCTGGATACTCGTTTTTAAAATGCACGTTCATCTTGTGGCGGCGATGTATTGAGTTCTCCCAGCCACCACTAGTATTTCATAGAATCCCTGCAGTGCAGAAAGAAGCCATTCAGCCCATCAGATTTTCACCAACCCTCTGAAGAGTACACTGTAACCCCACATAGGGTTTTTAATGTGGTTAACTCACCTAACCTGCACATCCCTGGACACTACGGAGAATTTTCCATGGCCAATCCACCCAACCTGCACATCTTTGGACTGTGGGAGGAAACCGGAGCACCTGGAGGAAACCCACATGACACGGGGAGAATGTGCAAACTCCACACAGACAGTCACCCGAGGATGTACTGGAGCCCGGGTCCCTGCCACTGCAAGTTAGTGGTGCCAACCACTGATCTGCCCTATTTCCCATGCAATCGGCAGATTCAGGTAACTGGCACTCCCCATTCCCTCTGTCTGCCAAATACCAGCGAAATTACTGTACTTGGGTACCAGCGTAGGTCTCCAGGATCTGTAACCAGACTAGATCACACAAAGTCATTACTGATCATGGTGTTACATTGTAAAGGAACCGATACCAGCTCAGATCAATGTATGACACACTAATCATGCACAGAGACAATGATGCCTTTGTGGTTGCATTGAGTATCCCCCACCAGTGGCAAAACAACCACATTGTCAGACAAGTGCGACAGGGAATAACACATATCTCTCCAGAGCAGGATGGGTTATCAAGACTCCAAGACATTACACTGAAGTTTGAAATTTTGGCCTTGTAAACCACACTCTACCTGTTTGTATAACTATTGAATTGACTACACATGCTTATATGCAAACATACATATCTGTTCGGGATAATATTTCAGCTTTTGGAAAAGCGGGATAGTATATTATGTCTCATGGTCAGTGTGTCAGTATACCTTTAAGAGACAAGCTCATGATACCATCACTGTATTGTTGCACGTGATTTGAGGCTGTAAAGATGTCAGACTCTATCTTAACTCAGATCACTATGTGACTGGAACAATGTTGCTCTTATTAAGCATGTAATTTCCTTGCGTAATACCAGCTCTATGTCTGAGGAATGTATTGTTTGTATGTAATTGTTAACTATAATAAATGCTTAATATTATTCTTCAATACCATAATATCCACAAACTCTTTCTTATGTTGTGTGAGGCATGGATAGAATGAACAGGGAAGATCTGTTTTCCTTTGAAGGAAAAATGTCCTAAGGTGATTGGACGAAGGATTAGACATGAGGGGAATCCTTTAGACCCAGTAGGTGGTGGGTGTCTGAAGTTGTTTCTCCAATTTAATGGTTGAGGCAGAAACCGTCATTTAAAAGATCTTCACCTGAAGCATTATAGCCCCCAAGGCTATTGCCAGATTCTGGCGAGTGGGATTAGAATCGCAGTTTATTTGACCAGCATAGACATGATGAGCTGAGTGGCCTCTTTCTGTGCTTATCTCTGGCTTTGTGGTTCTATGGATTGCACAGATTGTGGGGATGGCACAGTAGCTCAGTGGTTAGCACTGCTACCTCACAGCGCCGGGGACCTGGGTTTGATTCGACCCTTGGGCGACTGTCTTTGTGGAGTTTGCACATTCTCCCCATGTCTGTGTGGGTTTCCTCTGGGTGCTCTGGTTTCCTCCCACAGTCCAAAGATGTGCGGGTTAGGTGGATTGGCCGTTATAAATTTCCCCGTTGTATCCAGGGATGTGCAGGCTAGGTGGGTTAGCTATGTGAAATGCAGGGTTATGGTGATAGGATAGGGGGGTGGGTCTGGGTGGGATGCTGCTCGGAGTGTTGGTGTGGACTTGATGGGCTGAATGGCCTGCTTCCACACTGTAGGGATTCAATAATTCTATTTAATTTATTTTCTTAAAGCAAGCTTACTGCCTTTCTAGAATCCTAGAATTAAACAATACAGAAGAAGACCTTTGGCCCATCGAGTCTGTGCTGTCAAAAAAATTCTTCTTACTTTGTCCAACCTTTGTGTTGTCTTGCCTGACCCATCACCATGGTTAAAGATTAATATAAATAAATAATGGCATTAATGGATAGCATTTGAACACCCATATATGTGACATGCCAAGAGGTGCAAATACATGTGCACACAGGCACAGTGCAACTGTCTTGCTATTGTTTTGACTATTTTCTTGGAACAATACTTACCCTACATAGGAGGCCGTCAAACCTGCTATTGGTGTCTTCTGACAGCCCATTATAAAATATAAGACAAGGAGTATCCAGGAAGCAATAGCTGTCCCAATGCAGAACTTTGTAGCTCCAATCACATTTAGCTTGAACCTCTTCATTATCAGCCCTCCGCAGAAAATCCCAATTGCCATGGGGGGAATATTGACAAGCCCTGGAGAAAGATGCTCAAAGTTAGCACCTTATTACTCCAGTCCTCAAACTTTCTTTGACACAGTTGTGCTTTTCGTTACCAGTCCTTGAAATTTGGTTTTGCACAGCCTGATCCCAGGCCCAGCATCAGTGACTAAAATATCCAGATTGGGGTAGCAGATCACAACGGGGGGCAGGATATCCTTTTTGTTATGCACTGGCCTGCTAATCATTTTGCACCAGGTGAAGTAATTGGAATGGTTAATGAGTGCAGAAACTAGTGGCCACTGATTGTCTCATCATGCTAATTGATCTTTTACATACCGTATTGCCATTTGTTTAATTATAACTATCCTTGTATTTATGTTGTACACTTTCTGTGTTATGAACATTAAGACCTGAATTGATCTACCATCTGCACTAACCCTTTGAGCTCCTTTTTGCTGAGATGCCCACTCCAACAGTAATGTTTCTATTTAAGGTCTATTCATCCAGTAGTTTTGTTCCCACTACTTTTCACATCACAGTCCTTACAGCCATGGAACACTTTTGGAATCTTTATCCACTTGATACTCTATCACTCAATGTTTACGGCATTCCATACAACTCAATACTTCGAAAAATGTTATCAAACACCACATGTCAATATCTATGGAATTCTTTTCCAAAGAAAGCTGTGCAGGGGTTGGGGGTGCGTGGTGGCAAGTCGCTGATTATATTTCAGAAAGGTATAGATATATTTCCAGAGGCTAAAGTTGCCAACATGTATTGGGAAATTGCAGGAGTATAGTGTTGAGATGGAGGGTCAGCCAAGGTCATGTTGAGCCACAGAGTAGGCTCAATGGGCCAAGTTCCTTACTCCTGCTCTTATTTTCTATGTTTACAAGCAGGCTATTTAACATCTAGTTAGCAATATGATGGCTTCTTGTTTTCTTCTCATGCTTTTTGGTTTGGAATGAGTTGAGTGTAACCTTTGAGAATGATTGTAGTACTGTGTATGGTCTCTATTATCAGACAGTGGAGAGGCTGCAATGTTCATAGAAACCCTACAGTGTGGAAGCAGGCCATTCGGCCCATTGAGTCCACACCGACCCTCTGAAGAGCATCCCACCCTATCCCGCCCCTACTCTACCCCTGTAATCCCATACCTACCAAGGCCAATCCGCCTAACCTGCACATCTTTGGACTGTGGGAGGAAACCAGAGGACCTGGAACAAACGCACGCAGATGCAGGGAGAATGTGCAAACTCCACCCAGACAGTCACCCGAGGGTGGAATTTAACCTGGGCCTCTGGCACTGTGAGGCAGCCGTGCTAACCACTGAGCCACCATGCTGCTCCCACTACTTGATCTACAAGGGTGACTTCAAAACTGACAGAATATTCTTACCTATCAGAATGTTGCAAATGCACCAACAATTTAGAACCAGACTGAATCCCTATTTCCGGAGAAGTGTTTACCACACAATACTTTTCCCTTAACTCCAAAAAAAAAAGATTCACTCATTAACGTTTCCACTAAAGGGTTCACTTGACTATACAGGTACAACAGAGTCTTGCAGGATGTGTCTTTGACCTAAAATTCGGCATTAGAGGGCAATCTTTTATTAATTGCCTAACAACTTCTTGTAGAACCTATGTACTTTGGGCTGCTTCAAATGATAGCAATGGCAGAATGTTTTTAAAAAATCCTTGATTGCACTGTGAATCATACCTTACAGTTTGACTTGATGGTTTAATAGGGGATGTGAATAAGCCCTTACTCATCAATGGACAAATGCTATGATATTGAGAGTGTCCACTCCCCCAAATGGAGTCTTGCACAAGACAGGAGCTGATTGGAGAGCAGGCGGGGGTGATCATAGTTAGTTACACTTCAATGTGCACTCCAGCACAGGAACACTGTCTGAATCAGTAAGTTGTAGGTTCGAAGCCCACTTCATCTGATGATCTAGTTGGTGTGCTCATTCCACACGAGTAGTAATCCAGAAACACAGCTAATGCTCTGGAGACATGAAGTCAAATCTCACCATGGTATTTGGAGGAACTTGGCATCATTAATTAAAAAATCTGAAATGTTTTTTTTTCAGTGATGGTGGCCATGCAACCATCACCAAACTCATCTGGTTCACAATGTCCCTTAGGGAGGGAAATCTGCCATCGTTACGCAATTTGACCTACATGTGACTCCAGACCCACAGCAGTGTGGTTGACTCTTAACTGCCCTCTGAAATGGCTAAGCAAGCCACTAAGTTCAAGGCATTTGCAGATGAGCAAGAAATGCTGGCCTTGCCATGAAAGAATTAAAAAAGGAACTATCAGAGGTGCCAGCTCTTGAATGCTGTGTAAATCTGAGGTCCTATCAGCTTTCTGAAGAAAATTTGAACAATCTCGAAGTGTTGCTTTCCAGAAGAACAGGGGCATCTCCCTGGTACATGGGGCCATATTCATTTCTCAATCAACACCATAAAATCAAATTATCCATTATGTTCACATTGCTGTTTATGGGGTCTGGCTGTACGAATTCCATCATGTTATAATGTTGTCAAACACACTTCACTGACTGTAAAGGCCTTTGGGACATTGTGAGGAGACAGACTGTAAAATACACATTCCTTCTTTCTGTTCACCGTGATGTCTCATTTTCCGCCCATTAAAATTCTCAAGTGGTACCATCATAAAACAATTTGCAGACAACTTGTGCCCAATTCCTGGTCCAATTGCAGGGAGCAGATTTTCAGTTCTACAGCCTGGGCGTTAAACATCACTTGGGGCAGGACGAAGCCAAAAAAAAGATGTGCTTGTGAGAATCACAGACCAGAAACAGGATCTGCCAGATTCTGCTTCCTGCATGTTGCAATCAGCTGAAGTAAACTCTGGAGGATTTTGTTAGATTTATAGGGACACTAGGAACAGGAGTCAGAACCTCAGGCCTGCTCACCCAATCCAAATAGATCCTTCAATCCACATTTTCCTTTCTACTGTGGTGATGCTCAATGGAAATGTAACCACTAGGTCTCAGCAGACTCTCAAGTTATCGACTTTTGTTTGAAATGAATACTTCTTTAATTGAGTTTATCGTGCCATCGTTTATGTCTAGAAGCGTGGTGGAGGCAGATTCAATTGAGGCATTCAAAAGGGAATTAGTCTAGCATTCGAAAAGAATAATGAGCTGGGCTATGGGGAGAAAAGAACTGAATGTATTCAGTGAATCGCTCATTTGGAGAGCTGGTACTGGCTGGTACTGTACCAGGGTCCTGTGCTTGAACAAGGGGAACTACAATAGAATGAGGGAGCTCTTGGCTAAGGGAGACTGGAAACAAAGATTTTACGGTGGGACAGTTGACGAGCAGTGGAGGATTTTCAAAGCAATTTTTCAAAGTGCTCAGCAAAAGTATATTCCAATGAAAAGGAAGGACTGTAAGAAAAGGGGTAATCTGCCATGGGTGTCTAAAGAAATAAAGGAGGCTATCAAATTGAAAGAGAAGGCATACAAAGTGGCCAAAAACAGCATGAAACTAGAAGATTGGGAAAACTTTAAAGGTCAACAGAAAGCCACAAAAAGAGCGATAAAGAAAGGTAAGATAGAACATGAGAAAAAACTAGCACAGAATATAAAGACAGATAGCAAAGGTTTCTATAAATATATAAAATGAAAAAGAGTGGCTAAAGTAAATGTTGGCCCTTTAGAGCACGAGAAGGGGAATTTAGTTATGGGATATGATGAAATGGCCGAGGCATTGAACAGGTATTTTGTATCGGTCTTCACAGTGGAGGACACTAATAACATGCCAGTAATTGACAAAGAGACGAAGGTAGGTGAGGACCTGGAAACAATCATTATTACGGAAGAGGTAGTGTTGGGCAAGCTAATGGAGCTAAGGATTGATAAGTCTCCTGGCCCTGATGGAATGCATCCCAGGGTACTAAAAGAGATGGCGGGAGAAATAGCAGGTGCACTGGCGGTAATTTTCCAAAATTCGCTGGACTCTGGGGCAGTCCCAGCAGATTGGAAGACAGCAAGTGTGACGCCACCGTTTAAAAAGGGAAGTAGACAAAAGATGGGGAATTATAGACCGGTTAGCTTAACCTCTGTAGTGGGGAAGATGCTTGAGTCTATTATCAAGGAAGAAATAGCAAGGCATCTTGATAGAAATTGTCCCATTGGGCAGACGCAGCATGGGTTCATGAAGGGCAGGTCATGCTTGACAAATCTTTTGGAATTCTATGAAGACATTGCGAGCGAGGTGGACAATGGGGACCCAGTGGATGTGGTGTACCTAGATTTCCAAAAGTCCTTCGACAAGGTGCCGCACAAGAGGCTACTGCATAAGATAAGGATGCATGGCATTAAGGGTAAAGTGTTAGCATGGATAGAGGATTGGTTGACTAACAGGAAGCAAAGGGTGGGGATAAATAAGTGCTATTCTAGCTGGCAGTCAGTGACTAGTGGTGTGCCTCAGGGATCAGTGTTGGGACTGCAATTATTTACAAGTTATATAGATGATTTGGAGTTGGGGACCACATGTAGGGTGTCAAAGTTTGCAGATGACACTAAGATGAGTGGCAAAGCAAAGTGTGCAGAGGACTGTGAAACTTTGCAGAGGAACATAGATACATTGAGTGAGTGGGCAAAAGTCTGGCAGATGGAATACAATGTAAATAAATGTGAAGTCATACATTTTGGTAGGAGCAATAGTAAAAAGAATTATTACTTAAATGGTAAAAAGTTGCAGCATGCTGCTATGCAGAGGGACCTGGGTGTCCTTGTGCATGAATCACAGAAGGTAGGTCTGCAGGTACAACAAGTAATTAGGAAGGCAAATGGAATTTTGTCCTTCATTGCTAAAGGGATTGAAATTAAAAGCAGAGAGGTTATGTTGCAGCTGTACAAGGTGCTGGTGAGGCCACACCTGGAGTACTGTGTGCAGTTTTGGTCTCCTTACTTGAGAAAGGATGTATTGGCACTGGAGGGGGTGCAAAGGAGGTTCACTAGGTTGATTCCGGAGTTGAGGGGGTTGGCTTATGAGGAAAGACTGAGTAGATTGGGATTATATTCATTGGAATTCAGCAGATTGAGGGGGGATCTTATAGAAACATATAAAATTATGAAGGGAATAGATAAGATAGAAGTAGAGAGGATGTTTCCACTGGCAGGTGAAGCTAGGACAAGAGGGCATAGCCTCAAGATTAGAGGGAGCAGATTTAGGACTGAATTGAGAAGGAATTTCTTCACCCAGAGGGTTGTTAATCTATGGAATTCCTTGCCCAGTGAAGTAGTTGACGCTACTTCAGTAAATGTTTTTAAAAAAAAGGTAGATTTTTTTTGAACAATAAAGGAATTAAGGGATACGGTGAGAACGCGGGTAAGATGATCTGAGTCCACGAAAAGATCAGCCATGATCTTACTGAATGGCGGAGCAGGCTCGAAGGGCCAGACGGCCTACTCCTGCTCCTAGTTCTTATGTTCTTATGATGGGATGAATGGCCTTCTTCATGCTGTTACAATTCTGTAATTCACATATCAATCAAAACAAAATACAAACCTAGGAAAAGATTGGCTTTTGATGCTGTCTGGCCATATTGTTGCTCCATAAACTTGGGTCTGAATGTTAATGTTCCAATGATAATGTTCATTTGTAGGGTGGCTCGCAACAGAAGCAGAACATAAATTGGGTTGCAACAGAGGCATTTCACAGATGGCAAGAAACCTGAAAAAATAAAGACATGTTTCACATTTTAATGTAAATACCGTGATAATTTTGTTGCTTTGCAAGTGCCATACAAACAAGGCACTTCTTCTTTTGGAAATGTGAATAATAGAAGCTGAGAGATAAAATAATTCAGTGATGACTTTAAACGGGGTGTGGTAGGATGTAGACTGTTACCATTATAACTGGAAAAATTCATTTTGTTTTGCCTTTTATAACAAACTAATCTAATCTATGTTTCTATCCAAGGAAAAAATTGCTTTTATCTTTTGAAGTAAATGGTGAAGACCATAAGCCATAGAAGCAGAAGTAGGCTATTCAGCCCATCGAGTTTTTCTCTGCCATTCAATTAGAACTTGGCTGATCCCATAATCCTCAGGGAGTCATAGAAGTCTGCAACGTGGAAAAAGTCCCTTCAGCTCACTGAGTCTGAGTTGGATAAAAACAACAACCTAAATATTCTAATCCCATTTTTTAGCACGTAGCCCAAAGTCTTATATGCCTTGGCATCGCAAGTACATATCTAAATATTTCTTAAATGTTATGAGGGTTGAATGTTTCTGCCTATATTATCCTTACAGGTAGTGAGTTCCAGATTCTCGCCTCTCTCTGGATGAAACAAAATTGTCCCACCTCCTCTAAACCTCCTGTCTCTTATCTTAAATCTATGCCCCCTGGTGATTGATCCCTCTACCAAGGAGAAAAGATCCTCTGTCTACCCTGTCCATGTTTTACATAATTTTAAACTTTTTCTTAACTTATAGGTAAGTATAAGGTGTTGCATTCCAGATACAATTTGATTGGTCAAACTACCAGATTTGAAGCAAAACACACTTTATTCATACAGTCTAGTTAAAATACAACAAAAGAAAAAAATAATAAAAGAATTGGCTTAGCTGTCACTCTATTGGAAAGCTTAACTGAATAATAAATTAGTTGGCTACTAAACAGTAACTGTTCCAATATGGCAAGATCCCATAAACACGTCCTTGGCAAAAGGCAAATTCAGAAAATAAGACTGTCTCACATGCAATTCCAGCAACGCAGGAGGAAAAACATCAAGAGAAAACAGAGACAGTGTAGCTAGGAGAGATATACTGCAGCAACAGACCCAACAACAGTTGCCACTACTGAAAACTAAGAAACTAAAAATCCTGGTTCTATGAGAGCTTGACCACACCCATTCAGGCTGCTTCTATTATTCCAACTTTTAAAAAAAACTCCAAGCCCTCACAAGCTTTTTACTTTCTTATAGACCACTCGATGCCTTTCGTTCAATCTCTCTCTTAGAAGAAACCAGGACAAAATACAGCTCTTAAAGCCACAGTATTGGCACAATAAGAAAAACTTGTGAGTAATACACATTTCTTGCAATGTTGCATGTTGCTCCACATTTAAGCTGTCACACTTTAAGAAGCATGTTTTAACATACAATTTGCTTGACTGTTAGCAATGTAGGTGGTACGAAGGGAAAAACAGAAAGCATCCACGAGGCCTCTTGTAAGATCTTTTGAAACATAGCCGCTGATATTATTCTGGAGAACACAACAAGTGTTGAACTTCAATGATGGGAATGAATGTTAATATCTTACAATATTGCAACGTTGGAACAATTCATCAAAAATGGACTTCAACTGCTTAAAGATCTGAGCAAGCCTCTTATCCTGTAGTTTTATTACATGAGTAATCTGCAACTTGCCTTTTTCCAGAACGGAAAAGTTGGATGACTGTTGAGATTGATGGTCAGGCCCACCACGGTCTCCTTCTCCAGGCCATTTGGAGGGCCTGCTGAATCTTCTCTTCCCTTCTCCCTCTCTCGGCATGCTTTTTGGAAAGAAGCATATTGGTATTGCAGCAAGAATGGATATCACTCCAGCTATTAAAAAGCCAAGCCACCAGGCACCGACCCATCGAGTATCCTTTGGTGTAATTGTCAGACTGTCTGGGAAAAAAAGGATGCACATTTATTGTGAATGCCTGCAGTCACAGAAGGTAGTAATGCTCCTTCCTTTGTTGAGGTGCTGGCTTTAATGAAAAAGGAACATTATTCAATATGACTTGCCTCCCACACACATTGCTTTTTACCACCGTGCTGGGTGAGTTTTGAATCAAAAACATATTTTTTTTTATTTCTGAACACTAGCAAGTGTTAAAATCTGGCAGGTCATTAAATTATTATCCGAATCCCTAGAGTGATGTCAAATCACGTTTAAGATTTTGGTTTATCTTCATTTTGTTTGAGCATTTTATCAAAACCTGGCATCTGAAAATGAGCATCGCACTAACATTAATAGAATCACTTGATGTCCTTGTATCATTTCGCTTTGTCTGACAGCGGCATCAAGCACTCATTGTGGCACTGTTAAACACGTTAAACGCGCTATACCTTTTCATTTCTAAATATAGCTGTATGTATACAGATGTTGTCTACAGTGTGAAGTTACTATTTGGATGGAGGTGCATATTTCAAACTTTGCTAAAAAAAAACCATCAATCATTGCTAAAAGAAACCATGTTGCAAACCATAACTTCATTATTGGCAGGAGACCTTTAATAACACAGTGCAATGCAAGTGATATTCCTAACAGACTTCCACAGTACAAGTAAAGGGAATCTTGTGAGGTAGTAGCAACTTGCATTTCATCGTTTCCATTTGATTATTTTTCAGCCTCTTATTCTGCCTGATTCTTGGCTTGCAGGGTAAATGCTTAGCTTGCTCTTTAGCCACCTCACTTCTTGAGCAGACAGAGACTTGGAGTCGAGGCACTAATGAATGGCCCATCCTTCCATAGCCTCCAATCTTTGGTAATTGAGCTCCTCAATTTTCCTCTAACTCACTCTGAGTAAGAAACTTGCCTGTGCGCAATGCATCCTGCAATGGCCCAAAGGGAGTCAAAGCTAGTTTCTATCTTAGAATACAACAGAATAGAATAGAATAGAATATTTTTTATTGTCACATGTACTTAAGTACAGAAGTACAGTACACTGAAAGTTTTACAACGTCACCTCATATGAAACATTTTGGGTACAAAGTACCAAGGTACAGATCTTAGATACAAAATACAAAAATAAAGGGAATAAAGAAAGGATAAAAAATTATATTATGAACTGTAAGTAATATAAGTTAGAAAAATGAGAATAAAGTTAAAAAGATAAGCATTACAGTCTTTCAGTAGATCAGTGCAGGGGGCTTCCACACATAGTTCTCAAGCCATTGACTGGTCAATGGTCCAACAACCATCAAGCCTCAGGCAAACTGACTGACCCCGCTCTGCTCCGAGCCTCCAGCCCACTGACCGTCCCCACTCTGATCCTAAAGCC